ACATGATATTGATACTGTATCATAACATTAAACTATACTCTATCTCGATATTTCAATATTTTTGAACATGTCTACTCATCATAGTGAATAATTAGGATACTTTGGACCACTGCAAACAGTTTTTTCATGTTTTTGAGGTAGTAAAAATCAGATACAATGCTTATAATTTCTGGATATTCTTATTAGCCAAACAGTAAAGTGTATGTGGGTCCGGTCAAGTGGTAACGGAGGGAAACAGGGGCAGATTTTTTACATTCAAATAGTTCTTATTCAGAAACTAGAGGGACTATTGAAATAAGTAAAGTATCAGAATGTAGGAAAGAGTTACACTCCAACAGGGTCAAGTTAAACCTGTCATATTCTTTCAAGTTGTTGACAAAAAATTTAAAAACTCATGTCGGTAACGGAGGGAATAAAATATGCAGCACTTTTTGGGCAATAAATCCAAACAGTGATAACTCTTGGTTCTCACTTACATATCCTTAACAAACTGGTTTGAATATTTGCTTCATATAGTTTTCTACCATATGGTACAAGATTAGGTTGAAAAACCTTTTACTTTTTGAGTCATGAGATTTTTTATTAAGAAAGGTCATGGTAACGGAGGGAAAATTGTGCAAGCAAGTGGAAGGTGCATGATTTTGCATAATTTGTCAGCTTTTTTCTTCCGAATACTTTAATATTACTTCAAAATGACTATTTCTATAAAATATGTCAGTCCTTCCAAGCAAATTTTTATCATTTTAAATCTTTTTTTTTTTTTTAAATCATGTACCTTCATCAACAGTTCAAAGATGGAATAACACAAGATATGATGAAATACATCCATTTATTGACATGATTTGCAGGTCTTTGAAATTTGGGAAATAATTTTTGTTCCATGTTTCATACATGGTCTGTTTAAAACGTATGGAACTTTAGAACCAAAAATGGTACAGAAAAAAGGTAAACAGTTTCATAAACTAGAGTACATATGTATCTGTTGAATACATTTTTATATCAGATGCATTAACTTGAATTTTTGGCCTTGCTGTTTACTTCTGCTTGACCGGGCCCATGTGTAGATAAAATGTAGGAATGTTAAATGTATAGAAGCTTGGTTTATGTTGTAATCCATTCATATCCTTGGTGTGGCAGTGAAAGCTTTAGAGCAGGGTTAACAGAGCAGACAGGCCCATTTCCTCTCCTGTCTCCTGTTATGTAATATTTGTTGTGGTCTGACCCTCTTACGTAGTACACTGTAATACCTGGGATGCCTTCAAGTGCAGCTTTGAAAAATACGGTTTTAAAAATGTGGCCTTGTGAGAAACTGCTGTAGAGAAGGGGTTGAGAAACTGGTTGTGTAAAATGCTTGTGTATTTGTACAATGTGTTCTGTGTTACGATGGCTCACTTAAAGGTGCATTGTGTAACTTTTCTGGTGGAGTTTGCTGGTTTGTTAAATACTTTTCACCATGGAGATGTTATTGCTTTGCCTTTTTTCCACAAACTGACTCTGATAACTTTTAACTTATAACTTTTCTGGTGGACTGTCCATCAAATGCTTTTCTCCATGGAGATTATTATTATTGCCTTGTCTGGAATGTTTCACAGTATGGCATTGAAACCTTTCGATCTTCATGGAGACCAAATCAGACCAAGTTACAGGTCAGATCTGTGGAGAGGTGACCTCGCTCACAGTCAGAATACCTGTTTTTTCGAGGCATTTTTGAGTTATAAAACCACCTGTAATTGAATAAAGGTAAAGTAGAGCTGTTTAATGTCATACTGTCATTACAAAATCATTTCAGGCAGAGAGATGACATATCCATAGAAACAAGTAGGTTACAGATAGTACACATCCTATAACTGCACTATAAGTACTTAACACAAGCACCATCCCACCAAACTAAGTCATAATTACAAGAACATGAAAACCTGTCATACGCAATTTAACATGAGTAAAGGTGTGGAGTTGTGTGTAGGCGTTACAAACTTGTATTGTGAGAGTATATTTGTGTCTTAAGTACAGAGGCCCGTGGAACAAAGGGGAGCGGGTGCCGGCTGGGTGCAGGCAGGGTGCAGGCAGGGTGCAGACGGGAGCTGGAGAGGGTGACAAGGTTTTGATCTACCTATGAAGACTCCCTTTGAGATGCTAACGCTACGAGGTACGCGGCGGTGTGACAGCGCAACTGGCATCGAGATAATGAGTGGAGCACAGGAACTAACGCGGATATACAAGAAACAAATCTGAGAACGAGAAAGGGAAGTGTAGAGAAAATGTATGGAAGTTATGGAGATGTTTTTGAATGGGGAACTTTCAAATAGTGGTATTGTAGTCACGAGAATTGCTACATCAACTTAAGCAATGTATTTTTGAGGTCAATATTTATCGTGTGTACATTTTCTTTGCGTTACTGGGAAATTTGTGGTTATTTTTACATCTAATATAACAAAATCTGAGCTGTTCAAGGTTTTGTTTTCAATATTTTCGTCTACCATATTTTTTGGACTATAGGGCGCACCGGATTATAAGGTGCATTATCAAAACAAATAGTCAGATAAGTCAAACTTTATTCAACTCATTCACAATAACTCTCAACGTTGTTCAGTTGTAACGCATAAAATACAAAACAATACACTTTTTCAGTTCATTCCTCTTTCACAAATCCATCAAATTCTTCATCTTCAGTGTCTGAGTTTAACAGTTGGGTGATTTTGGCATCAAGCATTCCCGGATCCCTCTCATCATTATCCGAGTCAGTCTTGTTGCTGTTACTTAGCTGTTCAGTGATGATTCCGGCCTTTGTGAAAGCTCGGACGACACTTGAGACTGATCCCTTAGCCCAGGCATCCACGATCCATTGGCAGATAGTGTCGTAATTCGCCAGGCGTTGTTTCCCTGTCTTGGTGAATGTGTATTACTCCGCGAGGCTCTTGACTGCAGTAGCCGTAATGCTCCGACAATCCATCAATCGGTGCGGCTTCGTAGTTTACCAAAGTCGTACTAAAACATTTTGACAGATTTTTGAGCACCGTGTACCACATAAAATCGGTTCGAGGTCAGTAAGCGCAACCAGAATGAATACATAAGACGCATTGTCGATTTTTGAGAAAATTAAAGGATTTTAAGTGCGTCTTATAATCCGAAAAATACGGTATATTTACATAAAGGTGCACTATGTAACCTGCTTGTTTCTATGGATATGTCATTGCTCTGCTTGAAATGTTCCACAGCATGACATTAAAGAGCTCCACTTTACATTTATTCAATTGCAGGTGGTTTTATAGCTCAAAAATACCCAGAAAAACAGACATTCTGGCTGTGAGTGGGGTCACCTCACCACAGATCTGACCTATAACTCAGTCTGGTTTGGTCTCCATGATGACAGAAAGGTTTAATACCATACTGTGAAACATTCCAGACAAAACAATAACATCTCCATGTACAAAAATATTTGACATACCCTCCACCAGAAAGTTTCACAATGTACCTTTAAGCAACATATCCAACTTCAAAAATTGTTACCGTGATGGACCTAGTTCGTAAATACTTTTTTTAGTTTGAAAATACTGCAATGACCTGAAGTACTCACAGCTAAGAACCAGACTTCTTTATTAATGTGCTTTATTTTTACGCTGCTACTTTTAATAATATCCGTTGTCATAGCCACAGCCCACACTCATCTGTTAAATACCCTGGATTTTCAGAACTGAGCCCCGCTTCTTGAAATCCAAACATGATTCTAATTCTTCAAAGTGCACCGAACATATTCATTAGTAGCTTAACTCGTCTTACTGACATTAAAGGTGCACTGTGAAACTTTTCTGGGACTGCTCCACCAAATATTATTGTTTGCCAGAAAGGTTTCAACTTACCTATGGTGCATTTAATTTATTCAATTTACTACTCCAAAATACTACAAAAAATATGCATTCCTAAAGTGAATGGGCTCGCCTCTCCACAGATAACTTGTAACTTGGCCTGGAGGCATTGCAGGCTTATCACCATGGAAATAGATAAATTTAATGCCATTCTGTGGGATATTTTAGACAATATCTCCATGAAGATAAGCAGGTGGCAGACCCTCCACCAGGAAGTTTCACAGTGCACCTTTAAATTGATCTGAGAATTGTAAGAAACCAAAACTGCATGCCCGTCTAAAGGACACCACACACTTCAGGAGAATTTGCCTGATTTTGGCTGCGATTTGCTGCTCTCCGAGTTCAGGGAGGCATGACCCGGCTTTGTGTCTTCGTGTGCGATTTTGAAGCCGCTGCACTGCTCATGTGTGGTGTCAATGTGACTCTGAGCTGCTCTGTCAAACGTAACCAGCACACAAAACCACGGCAACGGCTGATAAAGCATCAGGGGAAGACAAAGTGACACACAGATGCAACGTACAAAATCAACTCAGGAAATAGCTAAAATAATGAGGCGGCTTTAATACTCACCTCTCCTAAAGTTGTCAAGTCAAACTGTAGCATCTCATCCACATTATCCATTACAATTTGTCCTCTGCAAATAATGTCATCCTGTCCACAAAACATTGCTGTGAATCCAGTTTGAAGTGTTCTTTGAAAGTAAAAAGGCCAGAGTAGTTCCTCACGTGTGTCTGTTTACATCCACACAGTGACTCCATTTCCTGTGTATTTTATCAGCAGCCTTCTGTGCATTTATAATCATGTATCTGAAGTATTGCACCACATTTCACAAATAATAATAACACAGTTTTGTCTTGTATCTAAACTAGAAGTGCAGTGCTCTGATCTTTTGAACACTTAAGAGTCTCAAAGGGAGTGGTTTTACTGTAGACAGGAAACAGCTGACGTAAGGTACATTCACAAGTGCAGACATATCCCGCTACAGTCTTTGCGATCGAAAATTTTAAATCTCATAAGACTCTCCTTGTGTCTGTGGTGTGCTTTTTGTCGCACGTTTAAAAATCGCTTAAAACTGAAAAATCCTGTAGTTTGTGACAGCCTTAACCTTGACTCTTCTTTCTCTTTTTTCCCCCCCAGCAAATGGCTACATCAGTGCGCGGACCTCCCCTGGCCTGCTCTCCATCTCCAATGGCAACAGCATGGGCAAGGTGGTCCCAGCCAAGTCCCCCCCTCCCCCCAGCCCTCAGATGGTCAACAGCCGCAAGCCGGACCTGAGAGTCATCACCTCCCAGGGGGGCAAGAGTCTCATCCCACTGGTGAGACATTCAGATACTCTCTAAATATACACACACTTACCTGAATGCACGTACTTGTATTACAGACTGTATTCACAAGAGAGGAGCTAAAACTGGCCACTTATATTATTATAATGTCAGAATATGAGAAAGGATATGTTTTTTTTTTTTTTTTTAAATCTGTAAAAGAAATTAAAACCACTAAAAATGAATTATGAACATATTTTTTTCATGTATTTGAGCAAAATTTGTCTTGCCCCAGTACAGATATATTGTATAGCAGCTGTTGAGGTCAAAATACACTACCAGTCAAAAGTTTTCGACACTCTTTTTCATTTTTTTTTCATTTTATATCTATAATTATTTACCTAACTATGAATGAACATAAAAGGGATGTAGTAAGCAAAAATAAACTCAAAATAACTCAAAACTAGTGTAACGATCTACAAATCTCAGGATACGATATGAATCTCATGGTATGATATTTATTGCAATATTTTGTGGTGACTAACAAAACTGTGAATATGGTACTTTTTCCTCTTAAAATGCCTTAACAAGACTTAATCCAAAGAACTAAGACTTAAAAGTGCTTAGAACTGTTATTTCTTCTTGTAGTCTGCACTGAAATGGAGCAAATGATTTTTTTTAGCTTTTGTTGCACCATCACTCTTAATTTAAGCAAAGAAACTTGTAATTCAGTATATACTGTGATGGTCCATGATATTATTGTGAGAACTTTGATGATACGATATCACGATATTTCGGTTATTGTTACATTCCTACTCAAAACTGTTACATAATTCTGAAAATAGCCATCCTTTGCTTTAATCACTGCGGTTGGTATTTCTTGAACGACAAAAGACATGAATGAGAGCGCGTGTCCAAACTTTTGACTGGTCATGTCAGCTGTGCACTGTCTGAATTTTAATTATAAAGCCTTTTATTGTGACTGATTGTTCTGAAACAGAAAAACTGAACGAGATTCATTTCGCAGCGAGCATCCAAATTATTCTCAGAAATTAGTTTATGAGCACTTTTCACAACTTTCAGAGACTAGAGCTTTTGCCACCATGGTGAAGCCAACACCAACTAGCATGCTAATCATGCACTTTCTGATTCTCGAACAATAAAACACTATAGCAGACTTATTTTGATCTCAACAGCTGCTTATACAATATATCTGTACTGGGACAAGACAAATTTTGCTCAGACACATGAAAAAAAACATGGCCTTTAAAGGTGCACTATGTAACTTTTTGTTCTGCGTCCGTTACCTGGTTGTTTCTATGGATATGGTCATTGTTTTGCCTAGAATATTCCACAGTGTGACATTAAACAGCTCTACCTTACATTTATTCAATTTCAGGTGGTTTTATCTCAATAATACTTTCAAAAAAAAACAGGCTTTCTGACTGTGAGCGGGGTCACCTCTCCACAGATCTGACCTGTACCTTGGTCTGGTTTGACGCCATACTGTGAAACATTCCAGACAAAGCAATAACATCTCCACGGAAAAAAAAAAAACATTTGACGGATCTTCCACCAGAAAAGTCACACAATGCTCCTTTAAGTTACTCAAGTTACTCAAGTAAAAGTAACTGATTTGACTATTTTGACGGAAAGAGCCTAGGACAACACATGCACCAATAAAACAAAAACAATATTCTGATTCCATTATAATAATTAGCTTAACTCAAAGACATCATTTGAAATAATAGTAGGTCATAAAAAGAAACCCATTAGCAGTTTCAATAAAAGCGCAGATAAAACGATGTGGTCTATTGTTTAAAAATGCCCTGCTGGATAATACGCTGTCACATGGGGTCAGCGCTGTGGCTTGCTTTCCCAGTGGTATTCAAATGAGAAAATATAAAGCAGAATTGGTTTTATTATGATTGCAATAAAGAGTTACAATTAGTTTTGAAAAGTACTTTGTTGCATAATGAAATTGTATAAACTTCTAACATTTAAACTGGCTGAAAATGTTCACTTTTTAAAATGGTTCAAATAAATACATATGTGCAACTTGACCTTTTTAAAGAATCAATAAAGTCCGCCACACACTACAGGAGAATTTGCCCGACTTTTTGTCTTCGTGTGCGATTTTGAAGCCGCTGCGCTCCTCGTGTGAGCGGTGTCAGTGTGACTCTGAACTGCTCCGTCAGATCGTAACCACCAAAAATCAGCAACGCTACAGTAAGAGCCAATAAAACAGAGCGTCAGAAGCAGAGGAGAGACGGACATAGAGGTGCAATATACAAACTCGGGATATAGCGAAAATAATGAAAAGACTTTATTACTCACCTCTCATAAAGTGGTAAATTTAAAGTGCAGCTTCGCATCCACATTATCGATCGAAATTGTCCTCCGCAAATAATGACATCCAGTCCACAAAACCGCACTATTAATCCAGTTTGAGGTGTTCTTTAAAAGTCAAAAGGCAAGAGTAGTTCCTCACGCGTGTCTGTTTACATCCACACAGCACAAGGATTGAGGTGAAGCTGCAGATTAGTGATAGTGATTCTACTTCCTGTGAACTTTATCACCTATCTTTTATGCTTTACAAATCATGTATCTGAAGTATTGCACCACATTTCACAAATAATAAGAATAACACAGTTTTGAGACAACTTTATAGCCTGTGGTCCGCAGCTGTATCCTGCTGCAGTCTTTGCGATCGGAGATTTTAAGTCTCATAAGATTTTCCTCGTGTCTGTGGTGGACCAATAAATCCTGTAGTATGTGGTGGCCTTAAGTAATATCTACCTACCTAAAGTATTAATTTATGCATTTTTATTATATATTTACATAAATGTATTACACAATTTTGTAATCAGTGTTATAATGTTGTTTCCTCCTTAAAAACAAACTGGAGTTGTGTTTTGTTTCATTCACACACGTTTAACTCACAGACCTTGAATATTTAAGATGAGTTTTTCTCTCAAAAGAGAAAACACTCTTTTCCACCTTGTGATGTCATGTGGGAATACAGGAAGTGCACCATTGTGTTTTTAAACTTCAAACACCTTCGCTAGAAACATTTGGATAATTTCAGCCCTGGAATTGCAAATCCTCACTGAACAAAAGGTAAAAGGAGCTGTTAACTTGAAAATTATTTGATGACATCACAAGGTGGAACAGAGCATTTTAAGCCTTGGGTATGCAGAAAGTCCAATAATGCATGGTTACTCAAACATGTGAATGAAACCAAATGTAACTCCGGATATGTTTTTAATGCCGTAACAACATCAATTTTGTGAAATATAAGACCTTTAAATAGTATTTTTACAAAACAAAACTACTGCAAATCAACGGGGCACTGTGTAATTCTGTTTGTCTCCATGAAGATGTTATTTTTACTTGCCTGGAATGTCCCACACTATGGCATTAGGCAGGTGACATCACTAAGCCAAAATACAGGTCAGATCTGTGGAGAGTTATTCATTTTAGGGGAAGACGCACCTTAATTGTATACATAATGCAACACAGATCATTAAATACTGTACCGTACTGTGGAAAACAACGTAATAACATCTCCATGGAGACAAACAGGTGATGGACCCCCTACCAAAAAAGTTCCATTGTGCACCTTTGAAGTCTTGAGTTAAATTAGAAGAATATGCTCAAAAAGAAACTCATTACTTTACTATATCCTAATAATATCTCGATGATCATAAACATGTGTCTGTATCGAATCTGTTTTTTAACAATATTTATTTTAGCTGCCCCCATCTTTATTATTTGTTATCGGCCTGTACAATGTTGTGAAGACATCTGAAACCCAACAATGCTTCACTATTCTCTGCTCTTATAATATCTCTAACTGCATGTGAATGTCCACCATAGCCGCTAACTCGTCAAACTCTACATTTAGCTCTAGTGCTTGGGAGAAAAAAAAAAGTTGTGAGATTTTTCCAATAAATAATGATCAAATCAAAAATGATCTGATGAAACAAATATTTATGGACAAATAATAATAATAATACAAGTTTTGGCTAAGTTGGAACTTAGTAAACAGACTGGATTGGATTTGCTTTTTCTGAAATGTGGAAATCATCAAACTTTTAATTGCCCGAGCTAAAGGTAGTTGTTAGGGATGGGACGATTCATGTAAGGTTCAATTCGACTTTCTATTTTTGATTATTTTGATAACTTCTTCAAATTAACTTTATTTCTTATCTTAAAGGGACGGTTTGGAATTTTGGACATGGGGCCTCATTTCATAGTGAGCCAGAGTGTTGGAGATGTGTGGAGATATTTTTTTAAATATTCCATCCAGTCCTTGTATTTGCAGAGGTCGCTGGTGCTAGGCTAGTGCATGTCAATGGCCATAGTTAGCCTGCCACTAAAAACAGTGTCATCCACTCCACAAAACACCCAAAGCAAAACAACTATAATGCCAGCATGAATGATAGAATAATTTTAGAAGTAAAACCAATCTTGCATTTGAAGGATTTATATTTGAGCAGCAGCAGTGAGTTGTACTTCCTGATAGAAAGCTCAGCAGCAGCGGACTGAGATCTGAGAAAATAGTCCCTCAACATGCGACGATTCATGCGATGCAAGGTTAGTTTTAGTTCAAACATTCTTCTTCCATCAAAGACATTTACACCCACAGTCTGGCGTAATAACAGATTTGCTTTGGGTGTTTTGTGGAGTGGGTAAGACTGTTTTTAGTGGCAGGATAACTATGGCCATTGACATGCACTAGCCTAGCACCAGTGACCTCTGCAAATACAAGAACTAGATGGATAAAAGTGTCTCCACACGTCTCCAACAATGTGGCTCACTAAGAAATGAGGTTCTGTGTCCAATTCTGGACTGTCCCTTTAAAACACAAACACACTGTTAACGTTGAATTAAAAATCATAATATTTAGTGTTTTTACTGTAGATATCCAAAATAAATGACTCACAAGTGCTTTTAATTAACATGCTTAAAGCCAAAAAAGCAATTTTGGAGTATTTAAAAGTTAATATTTTCATCATTTCTGAGTCTATCAGTGTAAAATAAAAAAGTGAATGAAAAATAAAAGTCACCTCTGTTAGATTGTAGCAGCAGTGAGGCTCTATAGAGCTCTTTACTTTCTGTATCTAAGAAAGACTTGGCCATTTTTTTCCCGTGCCAAAGTGACATGGACATCAAACTCAACACAGAATCGAATCGGAACACCACAATTAAACTATCTTTTTTTGAGAATTGTCCCATTCCTATTAGTTGGTAACTAAACACAGCAAAGGAGTAGTTTATGTAATAGTGTTAAATTCATAATCACAAGTCAAAAGTCCGTTAAACCAGTGCTTCTATCTGTCTTCGATCAGTCGTGTTGTGTCCGGTTAATGACCTGTGCAGTGCATCTTTACGAAACAAAAAATAACCAAGCTTATCAGGGTGCCTCGGATCACTCCTTTTCACCTAACCTTACATTTCTTTCTAAATTGAACCTTACTTTGAGTTTCTGCCGAATCATAACGGTGATATCTTCTCACCCTGTCCCCCCACAGACAGACGAAGAGCTGGAGTTGGTGAGTGAGGTGAATAGACCTTTAGCCTCCCTACCTGTGTTTTTTTTTCTGTAGCCCCGTAATGAGCAGTGTGCAGTGGGATCCTGTACCCAAGCATGAAGCTCCACTGTCAGCTCTCCTCCAGCCTGACTGCCCCGGCCCACGTTCACCCCGTCACAGCGCACACAAAGCACAGAAATGCATGGTTGTCTCTGGTCCCCAAAAATATGCTGTATGGAAAAGGTTAGATAAGGCCAGGGATGACAATGCAGCTGGTCTGGGTCTGGTGTTATGAGGTCATTATGGGAAAGCAAGAATAAATGGAAGAAGAGTAGACAGGTAGCGTATATATAGTGTTTTTGGTGGAGAATACGGTCAACAGTGGCTTTTAAACTACAAATATCAAATGAACTAAGCTAAAACTTTGACAAAACAATACATAAATTTGTCTGTTTTTTGTTGCCAGAAAAATCAAATAATCTTGGCAACTGTTTGCATTTTTGTAGTTTAAAGTAGTTGGAAATTATGCCTCTTTAGCATCAATGACATAGTAACAATTTAATTTGACATTTGTAAAGTAATGACTCAACCAAGTAATTAGCCAGTGGTATCTACATTTACATTTTAAAGGTTTTATATGACACAAAATGGATTCTTGTGAGCTTTAAGCCATGTCATAATGCTGTTACCTCCTCAAAAACAGACCTGGAGTTGTGTTTTGTTTCATTCACACATGCTTGAGTAGGTCTTTATTGTTATTCTGTCTCTATTTTCAAAGCTTAAACTGCTCTGTTCCACCTTGTGATGTCATGAAGCGGTAGTTTCCAAATGATCAACAACTTTTTACCTTAAATTCAGTAGAGATTGGCAATTCCAGGACTGAAATCATCCAAATTAATCTAGTGAAGGTGTATGGAGTCTAAAAACACAGTGGAGATATGTATAAAATTGTGCAAATATGAATCTTGATCAACTTTTTAGACACATACCACCAGGAAAGCAGATATTCATGAACTGTTATTAAAAAGTTATGTAACACTTTAGATTAGAGACCACATATTAATAGCTAGTTAATACTAATATCCATAATAAGTACTTAATTACACCTTTCTTTGTTTGCATTTATTAAGCACTTTCAATGCATTTTTATCTTACACTATATTTTGTATATTATAGTTTGCAAACCAATTACCACTTTGTTAGGATATTAATATGTGCTCCCTAAACTGAAGTGTTACCAAAAGTTATTGATAATCTATTATAAACCTGTGTCTATTTATAATGTGTATGTGTTTTGTTTGTTTTGTTTTTATTTGTTTGTATTTAGTTACTGAGTATTATGTAGATGAAATATTAGAAATTGTAGGGGTAGGATTAAAATAAGTTATGCTTCTTCCTACTCCTTTTTTGAACATTGAAATTTTTATCAATTTTGTTTTCTTTTTGTTTGTTTGTTTGAGAGTATACAGACTTTATCCTCCTGAGACCCGAAGAAAAAAAGTGTATTACAATGTATATTTTTGGGGGGATTTTCTCTCTATTTGGACGTAAATGAACATCGTAGCATTCAGATTTTGTTCATTTTATTTGTATTTATAATTCTATAACATGTCCTCTGTAAAGGACACCAGGGACATTTTGGAGTTAAATCCATGTGAAGTTAACAAGGAAACAAAAAAAACTATTTGATGACATCTCTGACAAGCTTCTACGGTCACCTCAAAAAGTTGTTAGACTCCCTTTTAATTTTTTTAATTTATATATCATAGTGCAGCAACAAACTAACACCTATTCAGTTTTTATTTTAATTTTTATCATTTTGTTTTTTTTAAATCCTGGACATGATACTGCCCTATAATCCCCCAGCCCTGTTTAAGCCGAGGAACCTAGTCCCCTATTAAGAGTCTATCTCAAAACACTTAAAAGATAAACTGGTTAACTCAATGTCCACTGCAATGGATACAGATGAATGGGGCGGGTCTCAGGAACTTAAGTTGTGCCTTCATACTTCAAAAAAAAAAAAAAAAGTTCAAATAAATTAACACTCAACTCTAAAAACACATGGCATCACATGGTGGAACATGCTATCAATTTGAGAGAAGAACTTGGATTAAACAGGCAGGATTTGTGTGTTAAACATGTCTGAATAAAACAAAACACAACTCCAGATATGTTTGTGATGAGGAAACGACATTCTGAAAACATTAGATCAAAAAACAGTGTAATATATTTCTCCATTTTGATTATTCCTTTAAAAACGCCATGAGGGAAAACAAAGGCAACCTGAGCAACCATCTGACCCATCTGCTGCTTGTGCGCGCTCCCAGCATGTGCATGCCAGGTTTCACACCAGCGATGAGGAGAGCTGCACAGACCTGTGTTCACTGCAGTCTGTGTGTTTGGGCTCAGACCTGAATATCTGTACCACGTCACAGGACCACTGCATGAGACAAACCTGCCATCCATGTCACCGGTGCACCCAGGACCCTTTCTGGTGGAGGGTCTGTCACCTGCTTGTTTCTATGGATATGTCATTGCTCTGCCTGGAATGTTCCACCATATGACATTAAACACCCCTACTTTACATTTATTCACTTGCAGATGATTTTATAGCTCAAAATACATGGAAAAAACAGCCAGTCTGACTGTGAGCCGGGTCGCCTCTTCACAGATCTGACCTGCAACTTGGTCTGCTATACTGCAAAAAAGCAATAACATCGCTATAGAGAAAAGCATTTGATGGACCCTCCACCAGAAAAGTTACACAATGGACCTTTAAATATAATGTTAGTCTGCGAGGGAAAGCTGACCTTGTTCTTTCACCGTGGTCTGAATGCCTTACAATAGTGAAAGACAGCTTGTGAAATGAATAGACAAATTTCACTTCAAATTAGTTTTATTAGCTTCTGGCGAGCTCCTATTTTTCTGATAATTTTGGAAAACCTAAAAGCGTGCTGCGCAACATTTCTAGTGGAGGGTCCACCTCCTGTCTGTCTCCATGGAGATGTTATTGCTTTGTCTAGAATGTTTCACAATGTAGATTAAACGTATCACAAGGGAGACAAGCAGATGACAGCACTACACTACATTACAATTAGGGCTGGGTATCATTAAGAAGTTGCCGATACGATACATACCTCTATACACGGGCCACGATACAAAACATATCTCGATACAGTGACCTTTCAATTCAATATGATATATTTCAAATTGATTCGAAACAGTTTTTTGAAAGTTCGTATGAAACACATTTTATTCATCAAAACAGTGAAAATGTCAAACGTGTCGCATAAAAAAGTGTCCTTCCTCTAAACAAGCAACAAAAATGTAGCACTGTAACAAAATAATTTAGTATAATATACCAAAAAGTACTCTTGGCGATACCTCGATACAGCAGCCCATGATATCGATACTGTATCATCACATTAAGCGATTCAATATATCGATATTTCAATATTTTTGCACATCCCTAATTACAATTCAGATCTGTGGAGAGTCACCCCATTCACAGAGGAAATTATTGTATTTTTCAGCAATAGAAACATAGCCAGGCTGGCGCCACCTAGTGCCTCTGCTCAATTTCATTTCTCTCCAGCGACTAGGTCAGGAATCAGAATACACTAGACGGTTTGCAAAAACCCTGGAATTTGTAGACCGCGCACCGGCCAGTCAGCGGAGAGCTGTGAAACCATGACGTCAAACTCAAGCGCCTGTCTGGGTCCCTTTTGTGGTACAGCACAACAGTAAACAAAGAAGCTGAGATGGATGTAGATGAAGACAGACATTCTGTGTTGGCAACGATTCCTGAGATCAAGGATTTAAAGCCAGAACAAAGGGAATGTTTGGTGAATTTTATCAAGGGGAAAGATGTTATTGCCCTTCTTCCTACGGGATTTGGAGCATTACATACGTCACGACCAAATAGCAGTGATTGGTTAAATGAAAAAAGTACCCGCCTACCGTCAAGCGAACGAATCCTAATACTGTGATGAATCAGACTAATAGAAACACCCACAAGGAATAAATGCTAGATGGTTATGTTTAAAATCATACGATGGAACATTCCAGGCAAAGCAATAACATCTCCATGAAGACAAGCAGGTAGCGGACCCTCTACCTGAAAAGTTGCGCAGTGCACCTTTAAAATGGAACTAAATGCTGAACTGTGTATATTGTGTTTTAATAGCATTTTCTATGGTCTTCTATGGTCTAAATGTCTTCATAAAGTGTGTACTGCCCTCAGAGGCCACTGCAGTTTCAAGTACTATGTGACATCACACAAGACTACCCTGGTTACAAGAAGGCGGTGTTTACAGGGGCAGATTTTGTAGTGTGGATACCTGTTAGATCTACACACTGTTCTTCACCCCTCGTCCACCCTCACGCTCCTCTTTAGTCCTCCAGGTACTTCCCAGTTTAGCAGTTGTATTTGAAATGTGGTTGTGGGAGGAGTTTAGTTGTTTAGCCCCACTTAAATAACTTGTATCATTTTCAGATGAGCTCCCCTTTCTGTGCACAGTCCACATTCTGTTTTCGCCAGATTTTCGGTGGCTCTCCCTGAAGTCTGCTGTCAAAAGACCTCTTTGTTTTTGAGAAAATCCTGTTGACTGGAACATATTTATTCCTCCAATCTCTGGCGTTTCCATACACTGCCGTTATTCATTTGTTTATTTATTTATACAGAGCAACTACAAATCTTTTCCAAAATTCACCTTCCCAGACACGCCAATTTTTCACCGCTCTTCCCCCCTGACTTATACTGTAGAGAAGACAAATCCTCACTTAAGGGCTGATATTACTCTATTTTCTGATCTGTTATAATGTTGTTTCCTCACTAAAAACATCCCTGAAGTTGTGTTTTGTTTCATTCACACATGTTTAACACACAAACTCTGCATATTTAGGTGGTGGTGGTAATAAGGGAAAAGCTCCACTCTGTTTTTAAACTGCATGCACCTTCACTAGAATCATTTGAAGAATTTGAGCCATGAAGTTGGAGTTCTTGACTGAGCAAAAGCGAAAAGGTAGCTGTTAACTTGTTAAAACTACTGCTTCATGACATCACAAGGAGAAACAGAGCATTTTGAGCTTAAGAGATGTAGACAGACTAAGAAAAACGGATTACTCAAACATGTCTGAATGAAGCAAAACACAACTCCAGGTATGCTTTTGACGCGGTAACAACGTCCAAACATGACTAAAAGCTCACAGGAGCCAGTTTTGCATAATATAGGACCTTTAAAGCCATCCTCTTGCACAAACATCATCCATATTCCGCATTCACACCTCCGCTGCCAGCCTGCCGATGCATGCATTCTTGTCAGCATGATTCTTCCTCACACCTTCCACCGTGACGCCACACACAAGCCAGCTCTCGGGCCCTGGCGCCGGCGTTACCGTGCCAACGCCACCTCGAGACGCGAGACAATTCTCATCCTGCACGCGCCTATGTTGGAGTGTCAGAGAAGTTCAACGCCTCTCGCAGAAGCTCATGCAGGAGCTCAAGTGTTCCTCAAGGTGGAAACTAGAAGAAGTAGTGCAGTTCAGTTTTGTATGGCATTGTTTGGAATGCACTTTGAGAGAGGCTGCACTTGTTGGAACTATGGATTGTATGACAGCTACCGTTGAATTTGTATAGTGATAAATTTATGATTGAAAAATGTATAGTTTGATTTCTGCTTCTGTTTAAAAGAGCGGGTATCACTTCTTATATACTACAACTTTTAAACTTCTACTCAGAGGTGATCAGTAACTACTAGGGGTGGGACGAGGCACAATTTCCACAAGACGAGACACGCCACAAGATTGGGTCCATGACAACGAGACAAAAACTAGATTTGTACACAATTTGTAATAAATAGGCTTTGGTTTCACTGTTTTTATTTATTTTTTGTAAACAGCTCTTAACTCTTTTTTTTGCCCCCCAAAAAGAGATAATTTTTCTCTTGTGTGCACAATCTTGTGGCAATTTTGTCTCACGAGATCTTGTGGTACGAGATCTTGTCCCATCCCTAGAAACTACGTACATTTACTTTTACTTGTGTTATATTTTAACTTTATTCTTTTTACTTTGACTCCACTACATATGAAAGACAAATATACTCATTTTAACTTTTATTTATTTATTTTTACTACTACTAACTTTTCTGGTGAAAGGTTTGCCACAGGTTCTTACTGCTTTGCCAGGAATGTTCCACAGTATGGCATAAACTGATAAAGCTTGCATGTTTTCAGCTACAGATGCTTTGTATCGCTACCAAAAGACCCTGACAAACATGCATTCTAAATGTGGGTGTGGTTGCCTTTCCACAGATCTGACTGGTAACATACTTGTCTTCGTGTATATGGGTCAGTCCACCTCAGTTCACCCAATGAGTTAAACCCTACTTTGTCAAATTTTGATGAAACTTGGTATATAGGTAAATCATAGAAAATTATATTATATTTATTATATTATATTGTATATATATTTGGCTTGGAATGGATATTTGGCACATCTTAAGATGGGGGTAAGTCAACTTCTAGGTAAATTTGTGTGGAAATAAAAAAAGAAAACCCCTCCAAGGTCAAGATATAGGTCAAAAGGTTATTCATCTCAAAATTACTCAAATGCAAAAGTAAATTGTTTTTGATATTCGGACAGTAGTTGCTGAGTAAACGCAATTGGAAATTCGGCCACCACGCAAAAAAGTAAAAAAATTAAATTGCGATATCTCGGAAACTGTTACTCCGATCAAATAAAATTTTGAGATTTTGGCTTTCTTGGCTGTGACTTACCCATACACCAATTTTCTTTGCAATTGGAGAATGTGAGGGTTCAAATTGCAATTTGAACATCTTTAAGGAGACAAACAGGTGTCAGATCTTCCACCAGAAAAGTTAAATAATGTATTAAGAGACCAAACTTCATTCAGTTTTTTTGTCTTTCGATGAGAGGTAACTTGGCTACACACACCATATCCACACACGAACTAAACCTGGAACTAAACCAGGACTAGACCAGGACTAGACCAGGACTAGACCAGGAGTAGACCAGGAGTAGACCAGGAGTAGACCAGGAGTAGACCAGGAGTAGACCAGGACCGAACTATCTCTGAATGCTGCCTGACTTTTAATTGTTGTGAAAGAATGCCTCCACTCATATTTGAATAACCACTTTAATGTCCATGCTATGTGCTCTTGTTCTCCCAGAATGCCCAGCGGTTAGGGGGGTCCCAGATGGCACAGTCGCTCACAACTCCGGTGGTCTCCGTGGCAACGCCCAGTCTCTTAGGTCCCTTCTCTGGGCTACAGCCCTACAACACCGGTAAGTTCAGACAGGGATGACTTGTTTAAATAGTTTGGAGCTGGGTACAGTCTTGGTAGTACTTCTTGTGGTAAAACTCATAATAATAATTTACACTACAATTCAAAAGTTTTGACTCACCCTCTCATTCAATGTTTTTATTATATTTTTACTACTTTCTACATTTGATATACACACAGATGACATGGAATATATAAAGTAAAATGTATAGAATTATGTAGCACCAAAAAAAAAAAGATTCATTCTACTAAATTAAAATTTATAAACAAATCCTCAAATTATCCACTATGCTATGTTGAAAATGTAAATTTTATTAAATAATTCCATATATGTTGCTTTGTATATTTTATGTCTTCTGTCTGAATCTAAAATGAAGAAAGTGATAAGAAAAAAGAAACAAAACACTGAATAAGACGGTGTGTCCAAACTTTTGGGCAGCCAAAAGTTGTGAGAGACTCAGGATGTAGCAGTAACCAAAATATTGTAACATCGTATCATCAAAAGTATCACAATAATATCGTGGGCCATCCTAATATATTAAATTACAGTTTTGTTAAGTTACAGTGCAGCAGTATAGCTACCAGAACTTCATAGACCATGATCCTTTGCTGCATTTCATTGCCAATACATGCATCCTGACTTTCGGACTTCCAGTCATCGCTCAATACATACTGGGAAGGGTCCTCCGAAAAGTGAGCAAAAAAATCAAACCACCATGTTTGATTTCCCAGTGAGATGCGTCTATTGTCAAAGCCGATCTTTTCAAGTCTTTTGAACCATATCACTTTTGTTTCTGGTTCTGATATTGTCATATTTTAGTTACGGGATTCGGACATTGTAATCATGTGGTTGCTGGATGTCCTAACAGCGGAAAACATCGAAACGAAATGGACTTTGGAAGTTTACGAATTCCATAACTGTAAAAGGGAATCAGATCTGTGTGGTGCTCCACATACAAAATATTCACTGCAAACTCAGGATGATTTCTTAGGCAGTCAAAGGTTTCCTTTTTCGCCCTCCTGTGTATCAGTACTGCCCATCGCCTTCGCCTTTCACTATTTTTCAATTCCGTTGGGAAGGGAAACAGTTTGAACGGAGGTTTGCAGTCACACAGATCTAATTCCCGTGCATTTATAGAGTTCGCAAACTTCCAAAGCCCGTTTCTCGAGCAGTTTTCCGCTGTTAGGACATCCAACAACCACACAATTAGGATGTCTGAATCCCATAACTAAAATATGACAATATCAGAATCAGAAACAAAAGCGATATGGTTCTTTTTCGTAGGACCCTTCCCAGTTTGCATTGCCTGATGACCGGAAGTCCAGAATTCGGGATGCGTGTATTACATGAAGAAATAACTGTTATATGCACTTTTAAATCTTCATTCTTTGGGTTATGACAGAGTCTTGTCAAAGCTTTTTAAAAGGAAAAATATTCACAGTTTTGTTAGACTCCACAAAATATCGCAATAAATATCGTACCTTGAGATGTATAGTATATTGTGGAAATATCGTACAGCGAGATTTGGGTTTCTTTTACATCCGTATGTTTAACTGCACAAATCATCACCTCACATGTGATAGTTTCATCTGAGTCATTTCTTTATGGTCAGATTCTTGCGTATCAGAGCTTCAAACAGAGTAGTGCTACAGTTAGCAGTCATACCTTTGAGATTGCGCAGCTGTCTTGACTAAACTGCCTTTTTGCCGAGTTGTAGACTATGTATCTTAAATGAAGCCAGTCACATTATGAAAGCTGCAGAAACCCTGTCCATACTGTGGGTAGAGATTTTGCGAGTGCCATGTAAAAGTGCGGGCCCCACACTGCGCCGCACAAAGCTCCATGAATATTCACTTTGTTCATTGTGTGAGAGCTTCTGGAACCATTCCACTTCAAAGGTCCCCATTAATATGGATTAGAGCTGATTAATATTGATGCCGCAGAAAGTTGGATGATGTAAAACAACACCCATCCCCCCGCCTCAGCTGTCTGAAGAAGGACCAGCGCTGGAGAGACGGAGGGGAAATGCTGGAAATTGATTTTTTCGAATGTTTAAATATCATTGAATTTTGAATTTGCCGGCCTCATAGCATTACTGCCTGAATCATTTTTCTGCTAAATTGAGTTTTCAGTCTCATTCTACTCTCCAGACCCTGCTGCGCCTGAAGATGTCATTGGCTCTGCCCTTGAACTTATACTTTCAGTTAAAACTTATAAGAGGATACAAAAAAAAAAAAACATCAACAATATTTTAGTTACCATTGACTAGTTTCATGGCCACCGTGTTTACACTTTTTTATATTAAAGTGTTTTCTTCTAATAAGACAAATACTGTAAAAAGTTGAATTGCTTATTTACCATCCGCTTTATTTACCATAAGGCAGATACAGGCTGAAACAATATTTGTCCTATGAGAAGAAAACACAAAGTTTGTTATAAAAAGTTATGGTTTAAGTGCAATAAAAAAATATATATTTTTTTTAATGTTTTGGCTGAAAGTTACATATTATGGTATTACAGTTGTGTGTCCCTTGGGCATGTCCTAATGGTTATCTTCGTTATATTGTTGTTATATCTCATTTTATCATATTTTAATAGATTTTTTTCTTTGAACTTTCCAAGGTTCACTTTTTGTTTGTGTCTTTAGGTTATATTTTTGAACACTTTTGTATTTAGACCTGCTTTTTTGCTTTTTATGCTTTTACGCCATTTAAAAATCTACAAAGATCTCTTCAATGCTTTGGCTGATGTAGTTGGAACTACATGTGAGCTGATATGTTCTATTAAACAAGTCTCTCTCACACAAAATTACACTCACATGCTAGTTAGCATTAGCCAACAGTTTTTCAGTGAGTCACTCTCACATTTTTGTTGAAAATCAAACACCTAAACAGGTACATGAACACTCATATCGATCAATCAATCAATGATGTTTTTTTTTCAGGGGATCTTAAAAGTGCACTGTGTAACTTTTTGGTTGGGGATCTGTCACTTGTTTCTATGGACACATGTCATTGCTTTGCCTGGAATATGCCACAATATGACATTATGATTTACCTTACATTAATTCAGTACCCAAAAAAACTTCTTACAGCATTCTGACTGTGAGCAGGGTCACCTCTCCACAGATCTGACCTGTAACTTGGTTTGGTTTGGTCTCCATAAGGGTAGAAAGGTTTAATGCCATACTGTGAAACATTCCAGACAAAGCAATAACATCTCCATGAAGAAAAGCATTTGACCGACCCTCCATAGAAAAGTTACACCATGTACCTTTAAAATGTATTTGTGTCTCCATGGTAACTGGTGAACAATCTGCCAGCACCACCAGCGTGACGTCATAACAAAGTATCAATATGCACTATCTGCAGTTGGTACTTGAACTTGACCTGGCGTGCCCCTTGTGCCCACAGAGTACCAGCTGATGAGCGCGGACCTCACGGCGCTGCAGACCTTCACACCTCCGGGGCTGGTGCCTGGCAACATGGCTGCCTGGCAACAGCAGCAGCAGCAGACGTCCATGGGCCAGACTCAACAGCAGCAGCAGATCAACCTGGGCCCCCTCAGCAACCTCGTGTAAGACCCTCCACTCCGCTTGTGTTTACAGATGTCATAACTCCGTGACCTGGTTCCGCGCCTGATTTCAAAGCAGGAGTCAGGAATATGTTTTAGTTTAAACTTTTAGCCCTGTCCACTTAGTTCTTTCTGACGTTTTGATATTGCAACATGACAGAGAATCAAGTGTCTGGGATAGTTTGAGCAGTTGTTTCCTTATAATTCTCTAATATTTGTCTTTTATTCGTTTATCGTTACTTTGAAAATGCAAGACGACCTAGAATGAAGTGTCTGGACGTGTCAGACATAAGGGTGTGCGAAAATATTGAAATATCAGTGTATCATAACGTTTAATTTGATGATACAGTATCGATATTGTGGGCTGCTATATTGACATATCTCCAGGAATAATTTTTGGTATATTTTGCTAAATTATATTGTGTAAGAGCTACAATTGTGTTGACATTTTCACTGTTTTGATGAGTAAAATTGGTGTGTTTCATATTAACTCTGCACAAATTTAGTGGACTTACTAGAATTTTAGAATCACTGACTTTAGTTTCACTGAACTGTATCGAATCGCATTGAATCGAAAGTGCACTGTATTGAAAAATGTATCGTATCGAGGTATGTATCGTATTGCCAACTTCTTAATGATACCCAGCCCTAGTCAGGCAGTTGGTTTCCCATGATTCTTAGTACCAATGTACCTCATTGTACAAAAAAGGAGCCCCCATCAAGCTCTTCTGTGTTAGTTATTACCAGAAAAAAAAACAGGTAAATTTAAGTAGAGTTTTTAGCAGTTTTTACCAAACAGTGACTGATGTAAAGAGTATTTATTTTGACGGGAATAAATTAAAATCAGATAGAGGCTCTTTAACGCCCGCGAGTCACTCATATAGATTCATCTTTTGTGAATCATTTGTGATATTTTGTTGAAAGTGCAATGTAATCAATAAGAAAATCTGGCTTTTGCCCCCCGTCTGGGACTAAGACGTCATCACATTTCAGAAAACCTGAAAACTACCAATAGTGCACTGCAAATTTCTCTGATCTGGCCAAGACTGTAAAACTTATATCAGGTTATTCATCTTGTTTTCAGATTTATGACGTACTTACTCGTTCTGAGACTGCTTCATTCTAGTCTAGAGGTAGTTTATTTGAAGATAAATTGTCAAGTAAACGTATCTTGTTGCATAGACAGATAATTTCACTATTTTTAAAACATTTTCTGATAGATTTAAGTGTTTATATCTTTAATTTTGCCCAAGCTTTTTTGCAGTGTCTTTTGTACAATGCTTTTTCAAAACAGCCAATTTGCTTTGGATTTCCTTGCAGTAATTTTCAGACAAAAAATTACCGGAATTTAGTATAATTATCATGTACGTCTAAGAATGAGCGGAAAAATAGAAGCTCTCAAACATAATTAGCTACAAGTAAAAGATGTTTTAATAGCGACGACTATTACAATAATGTGGTGCGTTTTTAAAGAGGAAGTATTTAAGACGCTCAGAAGTCAATCCATTATCTCCAAGAAAGAAACGTCAGCGTCACATAGCACATAACAGAAAAACTGTATTTCTATCAACTCCAGCGCTGACCTCTGACCTCCGCCGTGTACCCGATTATGGCGAACGGAGGCTCGTTAGCCCGTTAGCTGATTCCCGAGCACCAGGCATGAAAAGAGAGCCACAGCATCACCCCAGCAGTGTGCGGTTGGTTGATTCATCTTCCTGGTGACCTACATACCCCCCCACCTCCCGCTCCCCCTCCCGTGCTCAGTCCCCCCGCCCCCCCCGTTCCCACCGGAGTCCCACTCTGATTTAGCTCCCGGTATCAAGGCGAGGCTGCGAGCGGTTTTATGGTTCGCTATAAAGACACGCGGGATTTGAAAAAGTAGAAAAGAACGGCTTAATTTTTTACGCCATTTTTGTTTGGTCAGCGTGTAAGCTCGACAGTATTTCTTAAGTCATATTTTCAGCTTTTGTGGGGCAGTTTAGTGTGTTCTATGTCCAGTAAACAAAAAGAATGTGACTCTTTTTTCACTTGTGTAAGAGATTTGACCATTTATCCATCTATCCATTATTTTGATAGCCTATTTGGTTTGATTTCTTGGTGTTTTCAGTTCCAACACCAACGGAAATTGACAGTCGCCAGCTCAAACATCGCCAATTTTTTTCGCCCCAGAACCAGGTGTCCTACTTTTTGATGACCCCAGTCACCTTAAATATATCCTGGACATCACCATTCTAACATAGACTACATGAAAACAGAAATTTTACGCATTAGTTGCACAGAGTCAGCTTTGTGTTTGGTTTTTGAAGGACCCCAGGATGACAAGCAACCAATTTGTGGAAGCTAGAGGAGTGCAAAAATATTCAAATATTGACATATCTTATCATTTAATTTGATGATACAGTATCGATATCTTGGACTGCTGAATCAATATATTGCCAAGAGTATTTTTAGGTATATTTTGCTAAATTATGTTGGTAAGAGCTACAATTGTGTTGACATTTTCACAGTTTTGATGAGTAAAATTTATGTTTTTCATATTAGCTCTGCACAAACTCAGTGGACGTAGTAGACTTTTAGTATCACAGCCATGATTTAGCCTTTGTTTTTCACAGAACCGTATCAAATCGATTTGAAATATATCATATCGAATTGTATTGAATCGAAACTGCATTGTATCGAAAAATGCATCGTATCGTGGCCTATATATCGAGCCACAATGCTAAAAACTGCATCTAGTCAAGTTAAGATAAACTGAATTAAGAAAGTTTTATCATAATTTGACTCAATTTCACTTGACAATTAAATGATCTATTAGTGAAGCAAGACTTTTTGTGCTTAAAACATGAAAATATATCTTGCTACACTTAAAATAAGAAAAACGACAACTTTTTGCACTTAAAATAAGAAACAAAATCAAATGTTGCTCAAATTAAGTAAAACACACTTATTCCATTGGTAGATCATTTCACCTGTCAAGTTGATTCTACTCAAATAAAGTAAAATATTCTTAATTTAAGTGATTTTAACTTACCTAGATATATTTTTTTTCCAGTGTATGTATCATATCGACAACTTCTTAGTGATACCCAACACTAATGGAAGCTAATGGAGAATAAAATATATGATCATAGTGCTTCTATAGGGTATGTTCCAGCCTGCTGTTATGGAGAAAACAATTGAAAGAAGTAGGAGTAGACCTTATAGACCCTGGAGGTGTCTGTAAACAGTGTTCCATACGTTAGCTTCAATACATTTTTAATGGGAGAGTTAGTGTTAGCTTCCAAACATCACAAACTATGAAAAGCAAAGTCTGTTTTTTTTTGGCGACTGACAACCTCATGGACATAATGAGCATCGATGCACTTCCGGCTCCATTGACTCTGGTTCCATTTCACTTTCTATTAAAAAACTGTCAGCCCTCTCTTCATACTGCTGCAGTCAGGGTTGGCATTTTAATTTAAAATTGTCTGTATTAACCAAACACAAGGTTGGAGTGACAATTATAAAATCTGAAGTTGAACCCAAGATGGCGCTGTATTGTTTTCTGTCTGTGCTCATTAGCACATGGACCCAAAAATGATTTTCTCTTCTGCATTTACTTCCTCAATACGGACTGGCGCCTCCCACCCGTGTAAAATCACTGTTGTGACTTTGACTGCGATTGTCCTTGTCTATTCTATGTTTGTGTACAGCACTTTGGCCAGCTATAAAGTTTTTAAAGTGCTGTATAAATAAAGTTGGTATGGTAACGTCTGTAATGTGCATAGTGTGGTGTCTTTGGAGCTGCTCAGAGTGGGGCTAGGCTAAGTCTTACAAAACTAACTTTTAGGAGCTTTGAGGATTTAAACATTTTAAAAAGTTTATGTTCAAAATGTGCAAAATTCGATCTTTGTGAAAGTTGTCGATACCCTGTCAACCAAACATGGTCTGTTTGAATTTCCAAAAAAGGCTTTTCGCTCTATGGGAGAATTCTTTCTGGGCCCAAGTTCCTGGCAGCTGCAGTACCTGGAGCGGCCACTAGTCTGTCTCAAGCCAGGACAGAGGGGGAATGCCTTATCCAGTTTTTATTATAGATCTATGGTATTAACCCGCTCTACCTGATCCTGGTATTTTTATTTTGCTCTGTTGTCTATAAACCAAAATATGAACACACATTAAATAACAGACAAACATAACTGCGAGCCTCAACCAGCTTCATTTGACTGGAGCTGAACGCTGTGGGTGACGTCACACTCCCTTAGTCCACTTCTTTACACAGTCTATAGCAGCCCCAGCGAATCATTAGAAAACATTACCACTTGTAGAACTGTTTATAGTCAATATAGTTTATTTGTGATTAGCTGCAAAATTAGAACACCAACTAACGACCACATAGACCTCAATATACACTTTTTGATTCTAACTTTATGCTGGACAGTATTGCTCCAAAAATATATTGAGCCACAACAGTTTGACAATGAAATATTACTTGTATTTCATCAAGTGCCACAAGCCTGAATACATTAGTGAACTTTAGAAACTGGAGCTGGAAGTTGGATATTGACTGTTATTATCCGTCGCCATGTTTTTATTTTGCTGTCTTATTAAAATGAATGGGATAGAATGTTAATATCGGAACCAATTCTGAACACGTCAGTCCTGGAAGAGTATATTCACAGCAAAATAAGTCTGTTGAGTCCACTGTCTCCTCAGCACTTTTCCGTAGGTTAAAATTGTACTTCGCAACTTCTCTGGTGGAGGGTCTGTCACCTGCTTGTCTCCATGGAGATGTTATTGCTTTACTTAATATTCCATGTTGTGATATTAAACACACCTATCAAGCATTTATTCATTTTGGGTGTTTCTGTTGCTCAAAAATACAAATTCGCTCTCTGAATAGGGTTGCATCTCTGCAGATCCGACCTGTAATGTAGCCTATAGTTGTGGATCATGGAACATTCTAGACAAAGAAATAACATCTCCATGAAGACAAGCAGGTGACAGACCCTCCACCATAAAAGTTG